TTAGTAGTGAATTAGTGAATAGGAAATTCAGTCATCAACCAAAGGGAACACTCATCCTTGACGGCTCATGATCGCATTCTGCTCACATCCATAAAGTCTTCGCCTTGTAGCTAATCGGGACAAAACAAATGGCTGTTGGCTTGGCCGTGCAATAAGAAACAGGCGAAAATAGCCATAAGAAAATTCCTGCCTCAACCTAAATGAGTTTTTTTTAACTTGAATTTCATTTACTTAAAAGATATGTACGAAATAGACTTGTGAATGCTGATGGTATCATTGATAGGAGGCTCGGAAAATCAGATACATCCGGTGAATGTGTGAGCATAAAGTTGTGTTTACAGCCCGTAAGAGTACAAATTACCATAAGGTTAGATTGTAAAAGCAAAGGTGAGAGATCCAGTTGCAGTGTGATGGGTGCCAAGCTGCAACTTACTCCTCTTGCCGTCCTTATCCTACTAGCGTCAACAAAAGCAGTCGTATCCTTTTCCAACAGTCGAATCCATATGCCATCGTCCCTTTATGGATGATAGAAAGAATGCGCACGTTAACACTAAAATCAAGATTTGGAACCTTACGTATATGCAGATTAAGTTTACTGGATAGCAACTACTTCACTGGGATACGACTCCCCAAAGCGGATATCTCCGTCCTAAAATGAAAAATCAGTACTACTTAACCGTTTATAAGTAGAACCAGAAGCTTGTAAACCAAATGCAGCGTTCACCTTTTTCCACTGCCGGTACATTGGATACTTCTGGATGACGAATTCAATACCAGCGACAATGAAAGCGATGATTATACCAATTAGAACGATTATAAATAGTCCACCCAACTCTCGGAGAGAGAACGGATTGTGCTGCATGTTTATCTTCTCCGAGGGAAGTGGGCAGTCGCCCATGCCCAGAGTTCTTAATCAAAAGCAAAAAATTCCTAACTACATAATGCTATAGACGATATCTGTAAGTAGCACAATTAGAGAGCCAAGTGTTTTGATGAAACATAAGGAAACGGCACGGCTATTTGCATACCTTTCATTACCCTATATTTGCAGAATGAGCATTTTAATTAACATCAGCAATCACAGAAAATTGTTACCATGATCTCACCTCATTTCAATAGAGTTAAAAGTCTGATCCGTGCTAATGGCGTCAATCCGATTAGTCATCAGATTGGCGAAATCGTCGTTTCCCGAAAGAATGTACCCCAGAGCGTATAGATATTCCACAGGACCTGACTAAAAAGTATTGTTGTACCAAACATTACTGTTGCAATGTGCTATACCAATGCAAATCCAACAAAGTCACTGTATCGGTGTTAATTGAGGCACTTCAAAGCAAACTCACTTGAGGTGAGGACATACGGTTCAACTAGTGCAGACGTTGAGACACACTGGATAAGGAGGGTCGCTAAATGCTGACTAACAGTAAACGGATAATAGACGGCTGGATTTTAGAAAATTAGGAAAAGCAGATCAATTATTTGTTCAAGATTGCATTCCTTCCCTTAAATTTAAACCCCTTGCCAAAACAAAACAGGGTGTGGTAACGAACCAGGAATGCTTCGGAAGAATGAACTGTACTGTACGAATTGAACAAATGATGGCAAAGCATCACATGCTTAATAGTGCATAAAATGGCGCCCGATTGTTCCCTACTCGCCGCCCAAGAAATAGAGGCAATCCCTTCACCTAACGCGCAAAGAATGAAACGGTAGTCTTCTACTAGGCGCGTTGAAAAGTAAGAAGGCTCCGTAACTATCCGCAACTTCTCTCACCACAAGATAAGAAGTAAGTATAAGTTATTAACAGAAATGCAACGAATAATGCAGTCATTTGTGAATCACGCGACAGGAAGCCTACTTAAATGTTAATTAAGTAGAAATGCACGCGTAAAGTCACAAAACATGAGTGTTAGGTAGGGCTGATTTGGCATGAAAAGTTCTATAAAGTGTAGATGTTGAACGCAAGAGCATTTCATGAGGAGCAAGAGCATGCCGCATTGTTGAAGTTTGCCACAAATAAGGAAGCGTCTTCTATCATCCCCAGCGAAGGTGATTACACCTCCACCTACAGAAGTGATAAGTCGAATCGAGTATTCCCTTATTGGCAAAACTCACGAGATGTGAAGGAAATGTAGACACGAAATATTTGGGCACACTAGGAGTGAAACACTTTTAGGTTGGAAATCCGTAACAAAATAACTCTCCGTGGACTGAACTTCCAAAACACAAACAAAGTAAAAATAAAACGACCTAATTGCGGGCTGTTTTTTGAGCTGAACACAGTGGAATTCAGAAACACCTCCCTTCATCTTGATATGAGTCGTTCTTATTATTGTATTTCGACCACCTTATTCAAAGTTGTCTTCAGCCATGTCTTTTGCA